GTATTGAATACTTATCACATTTCAATATATTTTTTTAAAAAAACAATGGAAAATTTTTCAGTTTTAAGTAATTAATGTATTTGAATCTATGAACTTATCAACAGTTAAACATGGTTAAATTGAGTTAGTCTCGGGCAATTTGAACATAACGCATGCAAGGGGTGCCATTATGTGACACAGAGTTTCAGAAAGAAATGAAGCTGGGATGTTTCTGTGATCAATGTGTGCTTCCTGAAACTATTATAAACATTTAAATGTGCTGATCAGAACTTATGTAACAGTTGTTATGGTTGTTCTTGCAACCAGGTCATGTTGATGAGAGCCTGGCTGCATTACTCATTTTCCATGAAAATGGAAGGTTGGACTTACTCAGAATCATTTCCGACAAACCATTGGTCGCAAGGTCAGGTATGCCAAAGTGTGTACTGATGTAAAACAGCTTGTCATCATTCATCAAGACATTTGTCATGGTGATGATATTTACAGACTGTACCTGTGACAGCCAACTTCAACTTCCATACATTCAATCTGAAACCACCTGATAACCTTTAATGGCAATTTGACAACACTGTATCAATAGTTTTTGTTTTTTTATCTATATACCTTGTCTCAAACATCAAGAGGATCAAAGGAATCCATGTTTTTCCATTCAGTGATTGAGTGAGTGAGTATGGTTTTACGCCGCTTTTAGCAATATTCCAGCAATATCACGGCGGGGGACACCAGAAATGGGCTTCACACATTGTACCCATGTCGGGAATCGAACCCGGGTCTTCGGCGTGACGAGCGACCGCTTTAACCACTACGCTACCCAACCGCCCCTTTTCCATTCAGTAGTTCATGTGCACCATACTTATCATTGGGATATGACATACATGTTATTATGACATAGGCTGTCATCATAGTCATCGATAAATGATTTAATTAAATGATTTATTACTTGCCCGTGAAGAGATCACCCGTTTAATAAACATACAGCTTTATTACACATTGTGTAATACCAAAACGCGTGCTTATGTACTCTCGGAACACGTTTCACGAAAAAATATTGAAAGCTCTCAACATCCCTTGGCGTATTCAACGACATTGTGTGTGGAGATGATAGATCACTGGGAGGAGCTTATGCACACTCATTGACCCAAGCAACCTTGTTGCTAGGCTGACGTCACATGGCATTGTTTCGCCGATGGAACTTGCAACAAAATTCAACAAATTACGTCATCGGGTATTGTGACGTGATTGTAAACTTTAAGGTGCAAGGCCCCGTTCCACAAGGCGATCGTACTCTAGCGCAACGACAGTCGTTAGTCTAAGTTAAATTATGTGAGTTGTGATAGCCTTAGCACTACGATAATTTTGTGGGACGAACGCCTGAATTCTAAAGGTGGACCATTGTATGATATTAAATTCATACGTTTCAACTTTTGACGTGTTTGAAGTATTATTGTGTTAAACTCAATAGGATTATGCCATGGATCGTGTAGGTGTCAGCCTATTTACACTCAACAGTATAATTCTAAAAACATTATAAATGACAAGTAATAAATAAAATACTAAACTCGCTCTCGTGTAAAACCAATTTTATGAAACTCGTGAATAGTTGTGGTATCTGACTCGCTTTCGCTCGTCAGATACCAGAACTATTCACTCGTTTCATAAAATTGGTATTACACGGGAGCTCGTTTAGTATTCTATATATATATATTGGGGCGCTTATATATGGGGCCGCTTATAAAAAATACTTAGATTGGTCTTGAGGTGAGGTGAGGTGAAATGGGGTTTAACGTCGCGTCCAAGATTATTTCACTTATATAGCGACGTGCATGTACATGTGTTTGTGTGGCTGCTTGTACTAGTCCGGACTGATGCTGATTTATAGTGCTAGCTCACTGAGATACCATGCCACAGTTTAACATGAATACCCCACTCAGACACAGTATACCGACTCCGAGCCGACCAGTCCTTGTTTTAGCCTCTTAATGCCGAGCGCCAGACAGGGTAACAACAAGTACCATCTTTTAACGTCTTTAGGTATGACGCGGCCGGGGAACGAACCCCGGACCTTCCGCTCTCTGGGCGGACGCTCTACCTCTAGACCACGGAGGCGGTCCAGATTGGTCTTGAAGTGTTAGGGGTCACTTTATTGAACAGGATGCCTAATACACTGTGATTGTATCATTTTCTGGATAACTCAGGTAACTCAAGCAATAATATGTAAATACATTTAGTATACGGGTAAAAATCTCAAAACCGACAAATTTTCTGATATCAACTTGCAAAAATAAAAGTGTCCCTAATATAATTTTTCTCTTGATATTAGAGAATATGATACTTGAGAAGTACTTTCTATTTCAATGCAGTGCAGTGATGTGTTTAATTAATTAGAAAATAATTAATGAATTAGCCTAATCTGCTAGGACATTCAACTCCGTTACGGATCACAAAATGGAAAGTAATTTTAATAGCGCTAGGTTGCTTTGAAATATAAAATCGTATTCAGCAATTAACATTAAGTGTGAATACAATTCAGTGTTAAACAAATGCAAACTGGCTAAATAAAATGTATGATTGGACATTTGTAAGTGCTCGCTCCATATTTCAAAAGTTTGCCTAGACAACAAAGTCATTTACATGAAAGACGGTATCCAAAATATAGTATTTTTCATCTTTTGTCACAACATATATTATCATTAGTCCTAATCTAAAGTTAAAACTCATAAAAACAACAAAGTTTTTCGTCAGTTGTCAAAAGAAGTCATCTATTAAAAAAATCCTGACGTAACAGAGTTGAGTTTGTTGTAACGGAGTTGTAACTCATATATTTTGTTATTGCTCTCTAGCATAAAATAACAACCTTTTCATCCCTTTTGAGATGAAATGTGAAAATACATGCACTGTGTTGTGTTACTTGTCAGGACTTTGGTACTCATGGTTTATGAGCCAGTTACTGCAGTAATGGCATACAAAAGTGGGTCTACTAAATTACTAATGTTCAACCCTTTGTATAGACGTTGAAATAAATAAGCACAAAGTTGCTTAAAATGCCATTTTAGATCACTATAATATATTATAAAACTTCAAGATCAAATTTCAGATCAATCATATCATCAACACTGTCAGAAAACATGTTGTTTATACATGCATAATGAAATTGCTTTCTGCAGCCAAAACACAATAGCCAGGCACTCCCATCAATGTAAAAGACAACAGTTCTGTCTTCAATAATTAGTCCACTGTCGGAAAGAGCGCTATCAATAGAATCAAATCCACATTTTGCACAGGTCCTAACATCTTGTTCATCCAAAACATCAGAGCAGTCTGAGTGACTATTTAAAAAAAAAGTTCTTACTCCAGACTGTGGGAAAATTATTTGTCAGGTATAGGGTTAAAATAAAATAAAATATTCGTGAAGAACAAAGCTATGTACTGACAATAACTATCGAAATTGTGCAGATGCACAAATTTTTCCTCTCCGTTACGCTGTACAGCATTACAGAGTTGAGTGTAACGGAGTTGAGAAACCTTACTATAAATGGCTCATATCCCAGCATGCTTTGCTTTTTATGGAAATTAAAATACTCACTGCTAACATGGTCTTGCTAACCAATTTCTCTTGGAAAAGTGAAGGAAATTAGAATGAGATATAGATCTATAGACAGTGTAACAGAGTTGAGGCTCAGAAAACATACTGTACTTAACAGACATATCTTGATGTCATTGGCTTGAACATTGTACATAAATGTGGCATCTATCTATCACCAGCAGATGAACTTCATACACATGTTGCCAAAAGAGGAAGCGTATGAGAGTTATCTCCCATAGCACAGTTATTTTTTTAGTATTGGTACGTTGTAACGGAGTTGAGTGCCTTTTGAGGGACATCTTTTTTTTCTTATTTATTTTTTTTTCAATTAGGTTTTAGATAATAATGATAGGATACATGTAATTAATGTTCATTTGAGAGTGTGAAAAACAAAATTTGTTACATTTTTAGAATATTTAGATATAGATTAGGTATTATTTTTTATTCTGGTCCAGCTGAGGGACAGCCATGTTTTTAGTAAATCCAGAAAATATTTGCTTATAAACAAACAAATATTAACTTGAAAGTACATTTTTTTAGCATTTTACATTTGAAGAAAGGTAATCTACTTGTGAATAGTCTTGAAAAGGAAATCAAATATTTTAAAATACATTTCTGCAAACAAACTACTGATGTACAGGTCAAGTGGGAAATTGTTACGGTGTTGAGATTTTCACCCATACATCAGCAATGCTTAGGAATGCTTAGTCAGTATTTGTGTTAAATACTGGTACTTATGGGACATTTCAGTTAAGATCAGTTTTTATGGGGAGTACTTGTCCTTACAGGGTTCACATCTCAGTATTATGTTGGAGTACTTAAGGAAATATTTGCTGAAAGGTGTTCAATAGCTTAACCTAATACCAAGGACATATGATTGTAAACATGATACGATACATCAGAGTGCCTCGCTGCATGAAGATGACGCCCCCACAGGGTTAGAACTAAACTGAAAAGCTTTACTAGACCAAGTAAGGATAAAATGTCCTTGTAATGTTAAAAAATGGGGAAACTGGAAAATTTGCATTAGCCCAAAGGAATTTCTACTAGCCCCAGGCTAGGATGTGGGGCGTGGCAACAAGTGAGCTTTCTAATCAGCCAATCAGCACCATGCCCTCTACAAGTCAGCATAGGTAAAAGTCATTCTTATAGTTACCAAAGTGAAATTGAGCTGTGCCCATATGCGATATATGCACCTGCTGGAATGGGCGTTATCAACAGGTCTATTTTGAACCTCCAAAATTAATCTATGCAAAACTCTTCAGAAAATTGTATGCATATTTCCCCACCTCGTAAACGAGTATTTAGCAAAAACATAACAATGTGTAGCATGCCAAGGTGATAGCACTATTATTCAGATCGGCTAAACCTGATAATAAGATGGCCTTAGAAGAGGTGGGTTCACAAGCATATCAACCTTGAAGTGCCTAGTAGGTCCGTGGTTTCATCCGACACACCACAGTGACAGACGACGGATGTACAGCGATGTGGGGTCCTCGGGAAGGTGTCACTGTCGTCATCGCTGCTGTCCTCCGGATCCTGAATAGAAGGGTTTGTCCTAGAAACGGCCGTGTCAAGACTGGACATTGTTTATACTGCAGGGAGAAGAGTGCCTAGATGAGCATGTCGCTACATATTGAACAACTGCCAGCGAAGATAACAATCAGTGAATCAGGTCATCAGTGTCAATTTAATACGGAAATGAGATAGGACAGATCATGTGCGAGTTTGTCAGATTTCTTTCAAGCTCCCCACAGTGATAGCGTACCGCTGCCACCAGTCACCAAGCTCCTCACAGCGATAGCCCGTTCGCCGAGCTCTCTTACCGAGAGTGTAACGAAGGTGTCGCGCGCTGGGAAGGAGCTTGACCAGTCATAGCTCGGGGCTCCCCACAAACGTATGATACCGGGAGCGTAACGAAGGTGTCACGCACTGGAATGAGCTTGGGGTTGTTTCAAGCTCCTCACAGCGAGAGCGTAAGGAAGATGTCACGCGCTGAAAAGGAGCTTGGGAGGCTCTAGAGAGGTGAGGTGAGGTGAGGTGAGGTGAAATGGAGTTTAACGTTTAACATTCATATAGTGCACGTGTGTGTGTGTGTGTGTGTTCTTGTAAGAGTCCTGACTGATGCCGAGTTATAGTGCTAGCCCACTGAGATACCATGCCGCAGTTTAACACCCCACTCAGACACAGTATACTGACTCCAAAACGACCAGTCCTTGTTTTTAGCCCCTTAATACCGAGCGCCAGACAGGGTAACGTTTACCACTTCGGTGAAAACCACCGGTATGACGCGGCCGGGAGTCGAACCCCGGACCTTCCGCTCCCCGGGCGGACGCTCGATCTACCACTAGACCACGGAGGCGGTCGGATATTACTTTAAAAGTTGGGGTATTAGTGAATCCCTCGTAGTAAATCTGAGGATTTTTTTCCTGTCAACAGCAAAATCTACTACTACTACTACTGACACTACGACTAGTAGTCTATCACTGATACTACGACTACGGATATCCTCATAATCTGGAATGTCCTACCATAGTCTGAACGCAGTCGTATACGTTCGCAACAGCTAGAGTCTTACGAATCGGGAAAGGTCTCGAACCGCCTCTGTTGGTTCACTGTTCGGTCACTGTCGGATCTCTGTCGCATCGCATTCGGGAGAATCGAGACGCTGTCGGGATCGTCGACAGATTCGGTCGTTTTGTACCATGCGGAAGATACAAATGGGATCAGATTCAGATTGAGAACGGGAGAATCGGGAAGAATTCGGCTTGGAACGGCTGAATCGGGACGCTTCCTGAACAATATCTGATTGTTTGTGAATTTCCCGCCACGAATCACAGGATCTTGATCAGACTTTTGACAAATTTTAATTGGGAAAGGTCCTATTAAGGACGGCAGTAAAAAATCCTGAATGTGTGACTGAGCCCTTACATAGCACTTCCAAGTCATGTCAACAATCAGGACGTACATTTGCTACACGTGTCGGAATATAGAATTCCATACAGGCCCTAACGCTTATATATAACACACGTGCGATATCCATGGACTCCCTGGTGCTCAGGCGATAGCGCAGCAGGAAATGGACAATGTTGGTGTATGCTGTAAACTAAACCACTTAATTTGTACGCAATATATGCCATGTATAGGCCTATACCTATGACGATCGTGATCAGCTTATGGTTATTATGCAGAGCATGACAAGCTAACCTTTTACCGATACTACGACTAGTATTCTTTCTACTACTACTACTACTACTACTACTACTACTACTACTACACGAGAACAACTAACTATATTGATACAACTATGGCTACTACTACTGACACTACGACTAGTAGTCTATCACTGATACTACGACAACTAGTCTATCACTGATACTACGACTACGACTACTGATACTACAATGTGTGAGTGAGTTGTGTTTAACGCCGCTTTTAACAGTATTCCAGTTATATCGCGGCGTGTCAGCTTAATGTGGGAGGAAAGCCCGAAGTGATGCAGGTTTCAGACGTTTACCACTTCGCTAAAAACCACGAGCACGGGTATGGTGCTGACAAACCTAGAAATACAATAGGGGCGAACCGGGATTCGAACCAACAACCAAAGGTTTCTGGCGTGCCCAAGGGACGCAACTCTGCATAGCGAATCGCGGCGCCTTAAATGACTGGGGTGCCCTCTACCATGAAGATCTGAGGATAACTCCATAGAAGGTCGCGTCAGGTAAACCCTGTATGAACTTTGACCACCCAATCACGCGGCGCCTTAGACGACTTGGCCACCCGTGTCCCCTACAATGAGTGAGTGAGTTGGGTTTAACGACACTTTGAATAGTAATACTATTTAATTTTTATAAAGGCTTAATTGTCAGCTTAATGTGGGGGGAAAGCTCGAAGTGGTGCAGGTCTCAGACGTTTACCGCTTTGGTGAAACCCACGATCACGGTATGGTGCTGACAAACCTAGAAACATAATCAGGGTGAACGGGAAATCGAACCCACGATCATAGGTTTCTGGCACATCTAAGGGTCGCATCCCTGCGCAGCGAATTTGACGAGTTCACAGTTGAGTGCTCACAGTTCATATCAAACACTGGAAGTTTTTAGCACAAAGATAACCATTGGCGACACAAAAATACACAATAAATACGTTTTTCCGTCACATCTCAAATTTACAAGACCGCCTCCGTGGTCTAGTGGTAGAGCGTCCGCCCGGAAAGCGGAAGGTCCGGGGTTCGATCCCCGGCCGCGTCATACCTAAAGACGTTAAAAGATGGTACTTGTTGTTACCCTGTCTGGCTCTCGGCATTAAGGAGCTAAAACAAGGACTGGTCGGCCCAGAGTCAGTATACTGTGTCTGAGTGGTGTATTCATGTTAAACTGCAGCATGGTATCTCCGTGGGCTAGCACTATAAATCGGCTTTAGTCCGGACTAGTACAAGCAGCCACACACACCCGTGCATACACGAAGCTATAATTATAAGTGTAATAATCTTGGACGCGACGTTAAACCCCATTTCACCTCACCTCACATCTCAAAATTACATAATTCAGTCCAACTAGATGCGTAACAGCATTGTGATAATCGTTGGCAAGTTGTCATGGTCTATAGGTTTGATACTTCTCCTTGGGCGGCATCAAACTACCTGATCGAAACTGGATGATTGTGATCTTGCTCCGCCCACAATATCTCAATGAATTTGCACAACCGGATTGCTACGATCTTAGCGCTAAGATGATCGTAACTCCAAAACTTAAACAAAGGCTTACAATAGTCGTAGCACTAAGATCGCTTTGTTGTTTGTAGACGGGGGTCCCGTTCCTCAAAGCGATCTTAGCGCTACGATGATCGTAAGCCTATGTTAAAGTATGGGACTTACGATCACCTTAGTGCTAAGATCGCTTTGAGGAACGGGGCCCAGGTGGGTGGAAATGGTTGGCGCCGACCCCCTGCCATGTGACATATTATTTTGCTTCGTGACAAAGTCATCTTTGGTTTGAATGGTGGTTGGCCATTCTCCAATCTAATTAAAATCAGATCTTAGTTCTCGCTACCGCTGAACAAAGATCTGAGGACATCCCATTACATGCAGGTCACGTCAGAACGACCATTTCCCGACCAATCAGAGCGTCGCTTACCAGATTGGGAAAGTACAATCCCGAAAAGATTAAACACGAGGGATTCAGAACGACAGTTACCGGCTGTACGACTGGTTCCGTCAGAATCCTTTTATATCTATCGCTTCAGAAAGATAAACATCTGAAACGGAAGAGACTTTCCACAGGCCGTGGTGGTACTGTTATACAATTTTGGCAATCTATTAGCGATTCCAGAATATTCCAGTCTGGAATGGAAGTCGCCAGTTTGAAACTAGTGCCGCGGGGCCTATACCGACACTGTTGGTACAACCGGACGTGTTGGGTGCATGCAGCAAGCATGTTTGACACACATTATGTCATTGTTGTGAGACTTTAAATCGTCTGTTCGCACCCACCACTGCAGGCGCATGACAATGGTCGCAGCATTACAGGATAACAATGAAGTAATATGTTTATTCGGACATGAAATATGACAAAACTGGTATTTCTAGTTAGATCAATGGTCGCGTGATTGTGTGTTTAATGGGAAATTATTGTGAAAAACCTGGTGCCAAAATGATGGTTGACATATATAAATATTTCATGACTTGGCGCTATTGTTTCCTTTTACGTACGCTTCTTCTCTCACTCCTCTACAGTCCGTTTGACTCCAAATGAGAACGATGAATTGCAAAATAACTCGAAATCAATAACTGAAACATCAATACGGTACTTGGCCATGAATACCCTGTACCCAACAAAATCTGAATTTTGTTTATTTTAAGACCCATGACGGATGAAGTTCTTTAAGAAACTATCATGTAATTTTGTATAGAAATGTGTACATGACACGTAGGGGGGACAAACCGTGGAAGGCACAGCGCAAGCACGCATGCACTGCACGGTCTGTGGTAGGGGAAATTACAGAGCGTTAGAGGGGCCGTCTCATGATAATTTCAGTCGCAATCTGACTCGCTCATGCCATAGATCTCGTCGTCGGAACTGCTGGTGCCTGAACCGACTGCCACTATTATAGGTTGGACTGTTGCTGGTTCATGGTCAAGTACCGTATTGATGTTTCATACACTTTTCTGGATTTCGAGTTATTTTGCAATTCATCGTTCTCATTTGGAGTCAAACGGACTGTAGGTTATCTTACCACAAGCATCTCGTGCGCATGCCTTGGGTGTGACCTGCACGCTTTTTGTCGCGCCACAGCCGAGGAGATACTCCTTCATCCCTCGACTGTATATCAATTAATGTTGCTATTTATATCTTTTACGGATAATTAACCGTTTTAAACCATCTTCACTGCCTTAGTCCACTTCATTACATCGTCGGCCAGATCAACACCACTATATAAATGCGACTGCTGATACTACTATACCTACGAGTACTGATACTGCTATAACAACTACTGATACTGCTATAACAACAACTACTGATACTACTATAACTACAACTACTGATACAACTATAACTACAACTACTGATACTGCTATAACTACAACTACTGATACTGCTTTAACAACAACTACTGATACTACTATAACTACAACCACTGATACTACTATAACTACAACTACTGATACTACTATAACTACAACTACTGATACTACTACAACTACAACTACTGATACTACTAT